GGGATGTCCCCCTAGTGGCCAATCTAAAAAACTAAAACAGAAATGACAAGCCACCCTCTGATTAATGAAATAAGTTAGTATTGGTTCGTGGTATCGGTTAACTTTTACGAGTTAACCGATACCACATTTTACAGTATCGGTCCCGATACCCGATACCCGATACCAGTATCGGTATCGGTGCATCCCTAGTGGACACGTTTGATTTATCCACATAATGAAATTCGATCAGGCGTATCTGTAATTATGATATACTGATTGTCTGTAATCTGCATGACTTATGGCCACGTAGCCGATCTTTGGGAGCCAGAATTCAGGCTGGGTTATAGGGGATCAAATGCTTATTTCACTCAAGCATATGCAGGACTTTTGATTGGTATTTTGTCTCTCCATTCATCCTGGGCAGCACAGTGGCACAGTGGTTAGCACTGTTGCCTCACAGCAAGAAGGTCCTGCGTTCAATTACACCCAACAGGCCAAGGTCTTTCTGTCTGGAGTTTGCATGTTCTCCCCGTGTTTGTGTGTTCACTCCAGGTACTCCAGCTTCCTCCCACAGCCTAAAGACATGCAGTTAGTGGGGATAGGTTAATTGGAAACACTGAATTGCCTATAGGTGTGAGTGTGATTGGTTGTCTTTGTCTATGTGTTAGCCCTGTGACAGATTTGCAACCTGTCCAGGGTGTACCCTGCCTCTCCCCATAAGACAGGGATAGGCGACCCTGAAAAGGATAAGCAGTAGCGGATGGATGGCAGTTTCTTTTTCTCCGACTGTAATCTCTAAAGAGGAAAACAGTCATTGTAAGTATTATATGTTTGCCGAGGGTCTCTACTATCCTAAAAGATTAACTTAAGAAAGGTCCCAGAGACAAGTCACTATTTTAACTGCCCGTGGATTTTCTCTTGACATTTTTCTTCGCTTTTCCAAAACCCGAGCCAAAGCTGACATTTTGTTTAGCCTAGCTACAGCAGCCTCCAGTTTCTCTTTTTTTATCGGGAGCCGCCAGTCTCACTCGTTTAACCCTGTGCCTGTTTAGCACAGGATGTCCCCCTAGTGGCCAATCTAAAAAACTACAACAAAAATGACAATCCACCCTCTGATTAATGAAATAAGTTAGTATCGGTTCGTGGTATCGGTTAACTTTTACGAGTTAACGATACCACATTTTACAGTATCGGTCACGATACCCGATACCAGTATCGGTATCGGTGCATCCCTATCATATAGGAATGGTTACTTCAGGCAGGACTCCTGTAGTCAAAACAAATATCTCATTTCCATTGTCACATATGGTGGCAAGGCTCCATTCTAACAGTTCTGTGTCCTTTCATGGAAAGCCATGCATGGGGGGAGTGTCATCAAGACCCAGAACAGAGATCAGTGACATCAGAAACAGCAAAGGATGAGCAGGGGTGAAGGTGGGTAGCAAAGGGGATTGCAGATCCTTGGTAAATCCTAATGTTGAGTATTGTACAGAAAGGTATCAGCTGAGTTGGCACTGAGCTAAGCTGATTTCCTTCAGATGCATTTAATGCCAGTTCCAGAGCCATGTTTAACATAACAGCGATACCACATGTTGATAACAATTAGTTTTTCTACTGTACAAGCACATTTGATGAGGAAGCATTACCTTTTTTCTTATAAATGGCAAATGAACTGTGTGCTTTTCTACACTACTGGAGCACTCGAAGCATTTATAAGC